TATATCGGCACCATTGACTAAGTTAACACAGAAAGCTACTAAATTCCAGTGGTCTGACGCTTGTGAACGAAGTTTTCAGGAGTTGAAGAATCGATTGACATCCGCACCAGTGCTCACTCTTCCTGAAGGACCAGAAGGTTATGTGGTATATTGTGATGCCTCAGGTATAGGTTTGGGGTGCGTATTGATGCAACGTGAGAAGGTGATTGCTTATGCATCAAGACAATTGAAGAAGCATGAAAAGAATTATCCAACCCATGATTTGGAATTGGCTGCAGTAATATATGCTTTGAAGATATGGCGGCACTACTTATACGGCGTCCATGTTGACATCTACACAGATCACAAGAGTTTACAATACATCTTCAAGCAGAAAGAGTTGAATTTGAGGCAGCGTAGGTGGCTTGAATTACTGAAAGACTACGACGTCGAGATATTGTATCATCCCGGTAAAGCCAATGTTGTGGCAGACGCTCTCAGCCGTAAGTCAATGGGAAGCTTAGTACATATTGAGGCAGGTAGATGGGGGTTGACTAAAGAGCTTCATCAGCTAGCCAATATGAGAATCAGATTGTTAGACTCTGATGACGGAGGTGTTACTGTACATAATACATCAGAATCATCTTTGGTAGCCGAGGTAAAAGCACGGCAATATGAAGATCCTATCTTAGTACGATTGAGAGAGAGCATTCAGCAGTGTAAAATTACGGCTTTTGAGATCGGAGGAGATGGGGCACTGAGATACCAGGGCCGATTATGTGTGCCTAATGTGGCAGGGTTGCGAGAGAAGATTATGAATGAGATTCATCAATCCCGATATTCCATCCATCCCGGCTCGACAAAGATGTATCATGACATTAAGGAGCAGTATTGGTGGGATAACATGAAGAAGTCTATTGCAGAATTTGTAGCCCAGTGTCCTAATTGTCAACAAGTAAAGATCGAACATCAGAAACCCGGTGGATTGCTTCAGAATATAGAGATTCCGACCTGGAAATGGGAGGTGATTAATATGGACTTCATTATTGGGTTACCTCGCTCTTATCATAAGTTTGACTCCATCTGGGTGATAGTTGATCGACTTACAAAATGTGCCCATTTTCTGCCAGTTAAGACAACTTACACGGCTGAAGATTATGCGAAGTTGTATATCAAGGAGATTGTTAGGCTTCATGGTGTACCAATATCTATTATATCAGACCGAGGAGCTCAATTTACGGCTAACTTTTGGAGGTCTTTTCAGAAGGGTTTAGGCACACAAGTGAATCTCAGCACTGCATTTCATCCACAGACTGACGGACAGGCTGAACGTACCATTCAGACACTTGAAGATATGCTACGAGCATGTGTTCTAGATTTTAAGGGAAATTGGGATGACCATCTTCCACTCATAGAATTTGCCTACAATAATAGCTACCATTCCAGTATTAAAATGGCCCCATACGAGGCACTATACGGGAGGAGATGTAGATCACCAGTTGGATGGTTCGAAGTCGGTGAAACAGAATTATATGGGCCAGATTTGATTCACCAAGCCATTGAGAAGGTGAAAGTGATACAGGAGCGATTGAGGACGGCACAAAGCAGGCAAAAGTCTTATTCTGATGTCCGACGTCGTGATCTGGAGTTTGAGGTTGGTGATTGGGTTTTCCTGAGGATCTCGCCGATGAAGGGTGTTATGCGTTTTGGGAAAAAGGGTAAGCTGAGTCCACGGTATATCGGTCCGTACAAAATTCTTCGACGAATTGGACAGGTTGCTTATGAGTTAGAATTGCCATCCGAATTGGAATTTGTCCATCCAGTATTCCATGTATCTATGTTGAGGAAATGTATTGGAGACCCTTCTCGAGTTGTCCCTATCAAAGATGTACAAGTTACAGAGGATCTATCATATGATGAAGTGCCAGTGGCTATATTAGATCGACAAGTCCGCAAGCTGAGAACAAAAGATGTAGCTTCTGTCAAAGTATTGTGGAGGAACAAGAATATGGAAGAAATGACATGGGAAGCGGAAGAGGAGATGAGTTCTAAATATCCTTACCTATTCCAGAATGAAGATAACAAGGATGCTGGTGGAACGCAGGATACATTAGAAGGTGAAACGGCTCTATGAGGTAAGCAATAACTTGAGAATACTCTTCCTTAATACAAAATGGTGATATGTAGATAATGTACATGTCCATAATGCTTTGTGTAGCCTTGTGAGGCCATACGTTGGGCTTAACTGCTTGCAAGTTTTGCTAGTAACCATTTTATAGGGGAAAATTGACCGGGAATTTCCGTTGGAATCCACGATGATTTGGACTCCCCATAAACCCTTACATTCGAGGACGAATGTTCCTAAGGGGGGGAGGGTGTTACAACCCATATTCACATACGTTAGTTCATGCCATAAGGTCGTCGACGTAAATCCATGAAGAGATTATCTTTGAGATGATAAGAGATTAATCCTATTGGTCTTAAATGATACAAAGGTGTATAAGGGTGGTTAACAAGTATTAGAAGTTAAACGAATCAAGGATGTTGTCAGCCGTATTTTTGGGTAAACCTAGGGGTGCTTAATACTCTCAAGAGGTCGTATTTTAAGGTATATGAATCATAAAATATCCGTATCATAGTCTTGAAGTCAAACGAGTTATGAAACAAAAGTCGACAAGAGTTGTTGCAACTTAGGTTCATAGTTTTACTTAAACTTTAGGTCAAATGTTATTAAGCTTTTCTCCCAATGTACTTGGAATTACGGGGTGATCTACCCGCCAAATTGAAGATCTATGAGTCTAGTTTCCAACGCATTAAACCGTTTATCAATACAATATTGGGGTAGAGAGATATAGACATTTTTGCGAGACTGCACAAGCTGCTAGGTGACAAGTAGGTGGGTCACCTACTTGGTTAAATAATAGCCCAAAAAGAGGCAATTTCGGGTCAGACAAAGAGCCCATTAAAAGGCTTATCTCCTGCAATATATCCCTCATTATATTTCACAAATAACCAGACTTAAACCCCTGCAAACTTCCTCCCAAAAATTATCCACAAACCCTAATTGATTTTCTCTCTCTTTTAAGTTCAAATTGGGGGTAAACCCTAGAGTTTGAAGAACCAAGATAAGGGCTGAGTTATCCAACAAGTAAGGTGAGTTTACTGCTATCTTTCATACATTTATTCTGCTGTGAATTCATGGTAATTCGTTCTATACATGTAAGAACTCACGGGACAGTGATCGGAAGCCGTGAGTTCGAGTTATTCACTTGTAGCGGACTGTTTTGTGGACTGTTTTGTGTTGCTGTTGGGCTGCGTGTTTTACTACTGTTTTGTGGAGTTTTGGAGGAGGAAGGGTGTGGAGAAACACCATATAGATTTAGGGTTGTGGACTGGTAGTTCTTCGTAACATTTCCGGGTCGTTTGACACGACTAGGGTGGCCGTCGTATGTATGAAGTGATTAGGTTGTGCGTGGACTGTTTTGGGAGGCCCAATATGATTATTATTGATGTTGTTTAGGCTGTTTGGTGATTGTTTGGAATTGTGTGAAGTCATATATATAAGGGAGGTGCTGTCCGTTTCATCGTAAAATAGGTTGTGGTCGATACATAATAGTTATGACGCTTGAATGGTACTATAGTATCGTTTCTCTTATTGTAGACTAAGGAGTCGTGAAAATTGCATAGCTTGAGATTGGGGCAGTATATACAAGGTATGTGAGGCTATCCCTTTCCTTCCTTTGCACGACTCCGATTGTACATAATGTAATGAACGAGCTTCCAAAGATACTCTACTCTTAGAAGCTAGCAGTACTTACATTGTTTCCCCTCTTATGGAACGATTGATGTTGATGTTGCTTCTCTTATTCTTATGTTATCAATGTTATTGGTACTTCCTGATTCTTATAAGGTTCATGGTGAAGAGTTAGTCCTAATAACGTGTACACAGGATACCGACCTTACGTCACTCCGAAAGGTTTAGAACGTGAGTCCATGAGTCGAGCATGCATTATATATATGTATCTATTTTACTCTACCGAGCCGCGCTATAGTCGGCCGGGTACGGCACCTATTGTGCAACCACTGATCAGTTGGGTTTTACCGAGCCGTGCCGGTACGTACCGAGCCTTATGATGGCTGGGTACGTTTTTACCGAGCCTATTACGGCCGGGTACGATATGATGATGATGATGCCCACAGAGGCGTATGTTTTAAAAGTTTATGTATATATACATATGTATCACGCATTTCATGTCAGTAGCCCTCAGAGGTACCCAGATGATACATGTTGTTTATTCTCTATCCCTGCTTACATTACTGTTCGTACTTATGGTTTCCTGCCTTACATACTCAGTACTTTATTCGTACTGACGTCCTTTTATTTGTGGACGCTGCATGTCGTGCTGCAGGTCCTGATAGACAGGCAGGCGCAGCTCCCCCACCATAGTAGGCTGTCCAGTTCAGCGGTGATTGGCGAGATCCCTTCTTCGGACTTGCCGTGGTCTTGGTATGCATTTTTGTTATAGACATTATGGGTATGTCGGGGCCCTGTTCCGGCTATGTTGCAACAGTTATGTTCCTTTAGAGGCTCATAGACAGGTGTCGACTCATGTATAGTTTGGTAGGCCTTGTCGGCTGGTTTTTGTTGTATAGTCTCTCATGGTAGCGTGGTAGCTCGTACCTTATATATAGTTTCTTGATTGTCTAGTCATCCCATGTTATGTATGTTCATGCCATCATATTTTATTGTTGGTTGTCCACGACCCATGTCTACCATTTATATTGATCTCGTCAGCCCTAAAAGATAATAAAGAAGGTTAGATAAAATGTATGTTGGTGCTCGGTAAGTATGGCCGGGTGCTAGTCATGGCCCTCCAGTTTGGGTCGTGACACACACGATGACAGATTTGTTGATTATGAAAAATGCAGGTGCCTCTGCTTCACGATTCAAGGCTAAGCTGAACAAACAAACAAGACAGTAGATACTTAGAAGACCATGTCAATTCACACATAAAAGAATCTGATCTGGTTAAAAACATGCTTGTTTCAGCAAGAATTATGTCCGAAAGACTGGTTAATGACACATTGCATCCATATTCAACGACTAAATGAAGAGCTAAATTCATATTACTGAGGATTACATTTAACTTAAACTAAGAAAATCTATTATTACAAAAAGAAGTGACATGATCTGTACTCCGACGTCTTTTAACATTTGAACCTAGACATGCCTTGGGCAGGGGCAGAGCTAGAGTGCCGGGAGCAGGTTCGACCAAACCCATTAGCTTTGGTTCGAACCCTGTATTTGTCTTAAATTTTTTATTGAATATGTATAAATTACTAATCTAGAACCCAGTAACTTCAAATTATTAGAATCCCGAACCCCTAAGATTGAAATCCTGCTCCGCCTCTAGCCTTAGCAACTCGAGAATTACTGGAAGTTCTTGAAGGGATATTTTGCCCTAGCTTTGCAGTATCTGAAATTCTTGGTTCAAAGTTTCACTGGTTCTTTTTTTTTTTACAAAATTTTACACAAAGTTCTTAAAGGTCTTTTAACTTCCAGCTTCCTTCTGCACTAGTCAAATTTCGATCTCCCATCAATTCTACTTCGCTCATGGCCAGTGGACTAGGAACCAATTTCAGTCATTTCAAGGTAAGGTTCTTTTTCTTCCACCGAATGACAGAATGCGCAGGAGATAGAAGCACTGTATAACACATTTTGCAACTGGAAGACACATTTGGCAGTTTTAGCACCTGAATTATAAGAAGATGACTCACTCTTCTTGAGCACTTTCACTATGCAAGGTTACCCACATTGCTAAAAAGAACAAAAGAATAAGGGTGTAAAGAATTGCTAGTTGCGTCGAAGAATTAACTGGTATTTTCTATCTGGCATCTAATACTGTTATGGTGATCTCATTTCCTGTACTGTGTGTATATTGACTAGATGAGAATTCATTATCTGGTGCATTTGCTTCTACGTAGAAACCTGGCTGTTTAGGCGGTGGCAGTTCACCTTCATTGTTTAACATCATCAACACAGAAGACATACTTGGACGATCTTCTGGACAGTGTTGTACGCATAATAGACCAACATGGATTGATCGTATTACTTCAGGTGTAGAACGAACATCAATTGGGAAATCCCCCAGTAATTCCATTGATCTACCTTCTTTATAGAGTTTCCAAGCCTGTAGAATTTAAAATCGTGTTAGTATGACTAGCTTTGCGAGCTATTTATTGATGGACAACAAAAAATGCAACCCTTACGTGTCCAAGGAGGTTAAGGTTATGGTCCGGATGAGAGAATCTTCTGTTCCCTTTCCCACTCACAATTTCCAGCACTAAGACACCATAGCTAAATACATCTGACTTTACTGAGTAGACCCCATGCACAGCATACTCCGGTGAGAGGTAGCCACTGCATAAAATATATGCAGAAAATAGCATTATCAATAGGAAAACGTACTATGATAATCTCAAGGTTCTTCTATTCCAGTTTTCAACTACTCAGTAAAAAATCATGTTGAGATTCTTACTATGTTCCAACTACTCGGTGTGTCTTGGCTCCAAACTTATCGTCTTCACAACTTTTTGCTATGCCAAAGTCTGATATCTTTGGATTCATGTCATTGTCTAGTAAAATATTGTTAGCTTTCAGGTCCCTGTGAATGATCCTCAACTGAGAATCTTGATGCAGATACATAAGCCCCCGAGCTATCCCGTTGATGATGTGAAAGCGCTTAGGCCAGTCTAACACCCTGCTTCCTGTGTCATCTGCCAAAAGTTTCATAATTGGATCACTAATACACACCAATCAGGTAAAAATGAGAGTGGCATTAAAACATCAAACTCTTCCGTTATTGGTAAAAAGAAAAACATAATTTTGGTCCTTCGGCTCATCTAAATCTTAGTTCACAGTTCTCTTACACTATTTTTCCTGCTAGATGCGGATTAAAAGGGAAGAAGATCAGGTACTCATATAGGGCATCGTTTAACTGAAGTGCAAATATTACGCAAAATATTGGTCTTAGAAATCCTTACCGAATATAAATGAATCAAGACTTCCATTTGGCATGTACTCATAGATCAACATTTTTTCTTCTCCTTCAATGCAGCATCCAAGAATCTTCACCAGATTTCTATGCTGAAGTTTCACTATATACATCACTTCATTCTTGAACTCGTCTTGTCCTTGTGTGGAAGTCTTAGATAGCCGCTTCACAGCTATTTCCTGTCCTTGTTCAAGCATGCCCTAAACATCAAATCTCTGCACGTTAAACTTTTTCAATACCTAACATGAAAGTGAAAACCATGCAAGACTGTTGTATGCTTCCAAGTAAAAGGTAGAAGCACCAAATTTGAAGAATTGAGCAATCATAATAAATCCAATCAAGTTCAGCTGTTGTTCGTAAAACTCCTCCAACACATCTTAATTGCACTATATTTCTCTTACCAAATTAGGTTAAATTTGGGCGGACTAAGCAAATTATATATCCTCCAAAACCATAAAGTTGTTAAGCCATTCCTCTTATTAGATATTAATCAGCACATATTAGAAGACACGTTTTCAGAAACTTTTGGACTGACTCTGAAACATTTTGGATATTTTGAAGTACATGAATCAAAAGATCTTCCACTAAACCCCCTGTCCTCCATTTGTTGATGAATTAGCATAAATGCTCTCTTTGCTCTCCAAATGTCCCATTTGGTAGAACAAACCTTTTATTTTCAGTCACCTTATATCGAAAAAATCTAAAGTTACAGTCAGTCTTCCAGATTCTTGATATGCTCTATTATGTGGGCCGTTAATTGCATACCTCTACCTCCACAAAAGGTAGGGGTAAGGTCGGCATACACACTACTCTCCTCAAACCCCACTTTGTGGGATTACACTGGGTATGTTGTTGTTGCTGTTGTTGTTAATTGCTTATATCATGTACAAAACTGCAAAGCTATAAGTGGTTACCTTGTAAACAGGTCCATAGCCACCCTCTCCTATTTTGCTCTCCTCTGAAAAGTTGTTCGTAGATTTAGCTATCGTAGATAAGTCAAACAGTGGTAACTCAAATTCTTCACTGCGGTTTCCATTGTGGTAATCCATCTTGTAATTGCCATTGCACCCCCAAAATCCTGCCAAATACCAATATACCGGATTCGAATTCAGTTTTGCAAATACTAGACAAGGAGGATATTTCATTTCACTTTTAATTGATTTTGAATTCCTCTACAATATTTCATTTCACTTCTAATTGAGTTTGAATTCCTCTACTATTTCAAATTCCAAACAAAATGACCAGTTGACGTTACCTTTCTTTTTCTCTGAAGCTCGCTTCCTTCTTCTGAGGAAGAACACTAGGCTTAGGAATATCAGAACCGTACCAGCTGATAATGGGACAATCCAGGCAAGAAGTTTTCCTTTGTGTCCATTTGATTTATCCTGATTAGCTGCAAGTATTCAATCCAAGTATAGGTTAATCAGTCCGACTTTTTCCATCAGCTGGTAAGAGAGGATTACATTATGGAGTTATCAAGGTTCTGCAAGATGCTATTAGTTTGGAACTGCAAAAGTAAAAAGGATGCGGCAACTGATTTTAAACAATGATTACCGCAACCTTTAAAAGCAGTGCAAGTCTAATACTGTCAATGTGCTTTTTCCCAAGTATAAAGCTCTTTAAATTGTCCAGATATGATGTTCACAGGTTCAGCATTAAATTCATTCTAAATCATGTTTTCTTGTACCAGTGACTAAAGTTCATGGTCTTTGTTCTGTTAAATAGTGTATTAAAGTACATCATGTTTATAATCATTGTCACTGTTCCGAATGTAAATTCAGATATGCTTTTATCCAGGGTCCCTGCAACTCATACATTTTACTAAAAAGGCAGCTCGGTGCACTAAGCTCCTGCTATGTGCAAGGTTTGGGGAAGGGCTGGACCACAAGGGTCTATTGTACACAACCTTAACCTGCATTCACGGCTCGAACCCCTGACCTCCTGGTCATATGACAGCAACTTTACCGGTTACGCCAAGGCTCTCCTTCCAACTCATACATTTTACTGTCTTTAAGAAATCAATCACAAACTATAATCACTCTTTTTTCAGCAATAAACTTACCTAATTCAGAAGCAGCCATTCTAATGTAGATATCTTGCCCTTCGTTGGCTAGCTGTCGAATGTCAAGCAGATCTTCAAACCAAAGTAAGCAGCCACTTCCTCCATTGCGTATGTCAAGATTCGAGTAAGCCATACAAGAGCAGTTCTTCAAGCAAATATTCTTACACTCCTCAAGGTTCATACTCGCATTGAACCACGAATTCAGTGTGTCTGGTAACTTGAGTTTCGAATACTTCAAAAACACATCTCCCTTGAGGCAATTCAGTTCAGTACTCCTAACACACCCACTTGACCAATCCGCTTTCTTCCAATCTTCAGGAATTTTAGGCATAAACTTATCTAAACATCCACACACCGGAGAATTCAGACTGTTACAACTACCATATCCACCACATAACCTATAAGTATCACAATTATCTGTTGGTAGTGAAAGGTAAAGTGCCCAACATTTATTCCTATCGCCCCAAGTCCAACGTTGCACTGCACCATTCTGATTCAATGTAAACCTTGTAACAACTGAAGCTAAAAGCTGATAACTAAAATACACCTCTTTCTTAGTTGAAAACACACCAAATGTATAAAATTGACTTTCTCTTGAGTTTGTTGCCCCACTAAACCTTAATCCATTCCATGGTCCAGACTTGTAAATAACATTTGACCCTTTCTTCAAAATATTTTGTGGATAACCAGAAGGATCACAATGATATGTATAATCACCCGGAGCAGGATCCTCCTCATTTTTCCAAGATGACAAGTATATTTCTTTACCAGTTACAAAATTAAACCCAATTTTCATACCAGGTAAAAGGGTATCAGTAGGATAATCAAAACTCTGCCAAAGAAAACTTCCAACTTTATCATCATCAACATCAGCTTCTTTAACAACAAGATTTCCAGAATTAAGCAACTTTGCAATAGGATTTTGCACAGATCTTGAGGTATTAGTTGACCATACGATGTGGTTAGTCTCATTAACTATTACAATTACTCCTGGCTTAATAACTTTTACTGTACCTGATGTATTACTTAAAGGAGCTTCTCTATTGGCAACCCACACAACTGTAGTAACAGAAATATTCTTATACCAAATACCAAAATACCGAAACTTAGAATTACCTGGACTGAAGAACCCCATTTCGAAACTTCCACCAGATGAACTAATATTGAGTTCCCCATCTTTGAGAAATTGAGTTGTTGTTATAGTATCTGTAGCACCTAAAATTTGATAAATAGAAAATAAACAGAGGAGGAAGAAGAGTTTAAAACCTTCGTTTGATGTTGCCTTCATTCTTTGAAAGCTAAATAAATGCTGCTGCTATATTTTGTTTCTGTTGTAACATCCAAATTTGGAAATTTTCCATTTTTGGAGCAGAATAAAAACTTGTTAAATTATTAACTGCAGGTTTGGTCGTCGAGTTGCCAAATTGGCCATCAGAGGAAAAGTCTTTAAGTAGTCGCAGACGTTTAGTCGTCAAATGATGCTTGCATCTTCACACTTTACTTTCTTCATTTTTAAATTGTGAAATGCTGAAATTTGACACACATTTTTGAAATAATCAGTTCAAGTCAAAAGTGTTTGGTTTATTTAAAAAGTACTTAAACCAACCAAACCAGATATTAATGCAAATTTTATCAGTTTTGCTTTTTGTCAATTTTTTTAAGTTTTTGAGATCATTATGACTCTCTTGGGTTTATTCGCTGTTGGAATAAACACGATGTTGTTGCCAAAAAGATCTTATAATCTGTTTGGCCGAGTTTCGAAAATTAGCTTATTTTATAAATATTTTTTTCAAAAGTAATTTTGGTAAGAAACAGTTTGTATTTGATTGATTAATTTGAAAATCACTTTTGAGCAGATTAGAGTTTGACCAAGTTTTTAAAAAATGTTTTTAAGTGTATTTTTCTCAAAAGTGTTTTTCACAAAAAGTATTTTTGGGGAGAAGCTATTTTTTTCTGTTTTTCGAAAACTGCCTTTGCTTCTCCTCAAAAATGAATTTTTTTCTTCTAAAAGCTTGGCCAAACACTTCAACTTTGAAAAGAAAAAAAAGATGCTTATAGGTTTGAAGAAGCTTGGCCAAACAAACTATTAATCAAGTGACTTATAGTTATTTTTCTACCTAAAACTTACTACTCCCTCCGTTTTCATATTAAATAAGGTACTTTCCTTTTAGTTTGTTCCATAATAAATGACACATTTCTAAATTTGAAAATAATTTAACTTTAAACTCCTCATTTTATCCATTTTATCCTTAATGAGAAGCTTTTATAACCACACAAAAGTCATGATCCCACAAAGCTTTTACCCCTTAAGCTTTTAAGACCACAAATTTCAAAAGTATTTCTTTTTTTCCTTAAACTCCGTGCCGAGTCAAACTACCTCATTTAATTTGAAACGGAGGGAGTATTATTTACTTTTTGTTTCAGCGCAAAACTTATTACTACTACACATTGATGGCCGTGATAGGCAATACGTAATGGCTATCTCATTTGTTGTCCTTTCTACATTGTTTGTGTTGTGTTTTATCTTTAATGGGTGTGAATGGAAAATAAAGAGGCACTTTTTGGGTTGCACCTCTTCATACAATTAAAATAGTATGTGCTAGCCAGTTTTCGGACCGGTCATTCAAAAATAGCCAGCGTTTGTCAAGTCATTGAAAAATAGCCACTCTTTTGCTGCAACAGAGATCGGTCCAGCATAATATACTGGAGTACGATGCACGTGTATATGAACTTCCAGTATATTATGCTGGCGAAATGGCTTCGTGGCCACTTAAAGTTGTACATGATTTTGAAGCCGATATATAAACTTTTGATTTTCCCATTTTAGCACCTCAACTCAACCAATTGAGTATAAATGAACCCTTTCGTCAGAGCGTGAAGCTCAATTTCCTGACAGGAAGAACACGTCAAATTCTAAGACCATTTATTATTTTACATGTGTCAGTTGTGGGTTCGTTTTCTTAAACTAATTTATCAAATTTTTTTTCTTATTTTACTTCTTTCACTATTTCTTCTACAACTTTTAGCGTTATAGTCTGAGAAAAAAATCCCAGCCATAACCTGACCACATGCCTCAATCAACCATGAACTTCCATAAAATCCATTCCATCTTTCACTTTTAATAAAGTCCATAGAATTCATACTCCAAGTCAAAGAGTCAATGAGGCACCTGTTGAAATTCCATCAAGGCATCAAGAGTGTCGGCGAGGCTATGTCCAAGAAGGACATGAATGGTGAAATCAGAAAGAAAGAGAAGTCGGACTCCGTAAGTGGGATTTTCCGGCTAAAACTCGATAATTTTCCGATGGTCTTTCTCTTTTCTCTACCTATCTTCTAGTCTGAGATGGATACAAAAAAAAAAAGAAAAAAAGAGGGAGTTAATGTGAGAGAAAGCATTGACAGAATGTTTTTGACAAAATTCATTGCTTTTCTTTATTTTTCACTACGCTGGGGAAGTGGGGAAAGATTGGAGTGGAGGAGAAAGAAAAGAAGGGGAAGGTGTGAGGGTAGACGATAATGGGGAAAGGGGAAAATTAAGAAACAGGAAGAGGTTAGGGGAATAATGGTATTACTGATTTGGGGTGGGGTAAAGTGGGGTGGGGGCTTATTTTCTTTCTTTTTCATTTGCAATTTTTTTTATTTTAGATTTTTTAAAATAAAAATAATTGTAGTCACGCGCCTAATATACGTGACTTGCACACTCTTTGTCCACATCACTTCTTCCATGCCACATGTGCATGGTCAACAGTCAAATAGGTTTATTAGTTACCAAATACGAGAGTTTGAGTGTTCAAATGGGAACGATGTAAGTTTGTGTATCGGCTTTACAAATGAGAGCAAGTTTAAGTGGCCGGAAGGCCATTTCGCCTATTATGCTGGACCAGTATACTTTGCTAGTATAATATACTGGAGTTCCAGTATACTTTGCTGGAAATCCAGTATAATGTGCTGGAGTTCCAGCAAAGTATACTCCAACTCTAAACTCCAGTATAATATACTGGAGACCCAGTATACTTTGCTGGAACTCCAGTATAATGTACTGGAGTTCCAGCAAAGCATATTAAAACTCCAGTATATTATACTGGAGTTTCAACATATTATATTGGAATTCCAGTATATTATGCTGGAGTATTTTCCGGATTTTGAATAGTGTTTTTGTTCAGATTTATCTTTACATGAAAAGTAGCTAAATTTCGATGACTTTTGAAACTATGGCTATTTTTGAATGACCACTTGTAAATCTGGCTATTTTTGAATTTCTCCCCTCCATACACCCCTTTGTCTATAAATTTAGAGGCTTGGCCTTAATTTTTATACATGGAAAATCTGAAAACTTCACCCCTCTTTTCTACATTGTTGCATTGTTTTTCAAATAAATAAAGTGTCAAGTGTGATTTGCTCCGTTTGTTGAATTCGCTGAAGTTTTGTGATTTGTAGTGCCGCTATCACAGAATAGTTATTCCGTTCTATCGTGGGAGGAATTAATCCATAACCTTGGGCAACAGTGAGGGGATTAAATTCCTTAAGGGCACATTGTGAATTCAGTGGGTCCGAAATTATTACGATTTATTTATTGAACTAACTTTTGTTTGTTTCTCTGATTTTAAACACAGTAATACCAATGCTGTAAAGATTGCTTTTTTGAAAATTTATTATTAATAAAGCCGCAAGCCCACCCCTACGACCCAAAATCGAGAATCAAAGCGGCTCATAATAACGTACCAAAAAGAAAATATGAGAAATTCATATTCTCCGAAAGACAAAAGGTATCATGCTAACCATCGAGCAATTAGATTGTTTGTGATTAGCATAGCTTCGGTGTGTTTAGATTGTCCTTTTTAAAAAAAGTTTTTTTAATACTAAATTCAAATCAAATATTTTTAATGTAACATCAAACTAAACCAAACTAAATAATCAATCAATTTATTGAGTGAGTTTAGTTCTACTTTATATACCACATGTTTTTCCGTTTCCTTTGATTTGAATGCTTCTAGTTGGAGTTAATTCTGAATCAAGCCTAAAATGTCGAACAAATTACTATACTATTACGTTATTACTCGGTAGCGCGTATAATGTCTTTCCCAGATGGGCATGATTTCATGATAGGAATGAGGAGGAAGGAATAAATTGCTGTACTGAATACACACAAACAGATGGAAATGAAGGAGAAGAGAGATAGGATAAGAAAACAAAATTTCTGAAATTCTTTATTGGCGTCTAAGGTGACGTGACTATTTTATCTTTTGTGGATTACAAGTTTCTCCATACTGTCATCTTGACCACCCCAACCCATAATGTCTTCTTACGCGCAACGACTACAATGTATTTCAATTATATTTGTTCGCACATTGTATTTATTCGTGCAACGAATACAACTAAGGCGAAATATAGAAATACCGAAAAATAAAATGTTCTTGTTGAGAGTCAAACTCAAGACCTCCGATGAGTAAGCAGGTGCTCTAACCAACTTAGCTACGAGAGCTTATTGCTCTCTTATTTTAGTTCAAAAGAACTCTTATTTCAAGGATTTGCTATAAAATTCAAATATAGCTACGAATAGTAAATTTGCCGAAAGTATAACTACGAATGATAAATACAGTGTAAATGTTTGATATGTCCACGTAATTTTTCCTGCCTATTAGTGGTATCAAATAATCAAATTATGTTAGAGAAGTAAGCACAGAAAGATGTATCATGTGATGCCATAATATATATTAATAGGAGTGAACAAGAAAAGGACCGATGCATCCCATGTGAATGACAACTTAACGAGTAATTTGTAATCATATAAATGAAGCAATTTGGTGATATATAGTGTAATTTGATACTTGTACAGTTGTACTAGTGAAAAAGTGCACGTAAATTAATCTGAATATTACCAATTTAATCATTGGCTATCTTGGATTTAGCTCCCTCCACTTCCTCCATTAGGATGCTTAAATAAGCAACAACTATCTGTTTTGTCAATCAGTTGTCCAGATCTAATTATCTTAACAACTTATCTAATTATTATAATAAACAGATAATTAGTTAGCTTCCTGCAAAGAATTTCATACAAGGACTCTCATTCGACTGGAAAGTTATGGTAATACTGTTGCTGTATTTCTAAACTTCTCCTTTGCTGCCTTTATTATAAATTTACTATTGAAAGAATAAAAACGTCGACCAAATTGAGATAAGGCATAAAAAAATTGGGATACGGCAAAGTGTTACAATTTGAACTAATGATTGATTTCTTTTTGCCAGGTATTACGGGATTCTCATTTAACTAACTTTAGCTAGTTGGACACTTGTGTTTGGAATGTTGCTTGAATTAAACGTATTTTCAATAGGGTGGATATCAGTCCACGTGGAAAGTGATCAAAGTGTTTACTGTAAACTCCACTGTGTTAAAACATAAATAATAAAACTGTTAGAAGAAACAGAAAATTTGTAAACGATAAGAAATATTCCGAGTCCACAATTTCCTTGTGTGTCCTTAAGGAATTTTAACCCGCTCACAAATTGCCAAGGTAATGGAT